GGCTTCTGCTTCATATGCTTCATCAGGAAATGTCTTATCGACGATAACAGTCACATCAGTGGTAGTAACTTTATCAAGAGCTTCGCCGTTTACCTTATCAAAACTGAGTAGAGTTTTTTTTTCGACAGAGGCTTTTTCAGGTGACATTTCTTCAGCAGCGTCATTTGTTCCTTTGTTCACTTCGTCCCAACTGAAATGTCCTGGACCGTGATAACGCCAAAGCCTGTTGGCATGCACCACTTTTGGCTTACCTCGCCGACCACATTTTATCCGGAAAATCACGTCTGAGAGACGATCCACTATGTCATATGGGCCTTCCCATGGAGAAGACAACTTAGAAGACTTCCCTTTGGTCTTCCTAGGATTATACAACCACACCTTGTCTCCTGGTTCAAAGCTGACTTCAGTAGATATCTTATCATAACATAGCTTCATCGAATCAGCAGACGTTTTCAAGTTTGAATGCAAATTTTATTCCTTATAAAACAAATTCTTTTTTTTTTCTCTCTGAAAATTGCATGATTAATATTCTGTTGCAAAGAAATCACTTCGACTTTGGTTGTTTATGTATATTTCCATACATAACAAAAAAACAACAACGACAACTTTTACTATTGTTATACAGTTGTCCAGAGACTTGAAGTATCTGTGGAAGATGATACTCCTAAAAGTAGCAAGATAACGTGTTGTAATATTTAGAATAGATATAGTTTTAGATAATTAGAAAATGACAAAATAAATTAATATGTGATAGAAAACAAGATGCCAAAACAGTTGCGTAATCTCATTGCGTAAACTGTTAAGCACAAGTCTACGCCGTGTGTTATCTGTGCTTTGCCCAGCACGGATATCGAAATCCGATTTTTCATCATATAAGCTAAGCCCTCAGAATTACCGCTGATCCACTGGGGTGGGGTTGGGGGGTCAGTGTGGTACTAATGCCGCTGTTTTAAGTCTCCAGGATGTTAAACTAATTAAAAACACATAATGTAGTGATAATAACAATTGTGCAATACATTCTTACATCTCAATATATAGAAGATATATCACCTGCTGATCTTTTTTAGATTATGAAAACATGAGATGCTACAGTATTTGACTTGTATATATATATATATATATATATAAACGTTACTTTGATAAACAATCCAACAAATTACTCTGATAAACAATCCGACAAATTACTTTGATAAACAATCCGATAAATTACTTTGATAAACAATCCGACAAAGTAATTTGTCGGATTGTTTGTAAGTTGATAAACAATCCGATAAATTACTTTGATAAACAATCCAACAAATTACTTTGATAAACAATCCAACAAATTACTCTGATAAACAATCCGACAAATTACAAACAATCCGACAAATTACTTTGATAAACAATCCGATAAATTACTTTGATAAACAATCCTATAAATTACTTTGATAAACAATCCGATAAATTACTTTGAGAAACAATCCGATAAATTATGTTTTCTTAGAGTTGTAAATGTACAAAACGATAAAGAATAAATAAGGTTACATGTTTTTAAGGATGTAAATACAATAATTATTTGACATAATTTCACGATGAATCGGCTAAAACTGAACGAAACTCAGCCCCAATATAATGGAACCAAAAGCTCGTAAAAAATAAATGTAATTACAATCTCCCAGAAACCCAGTAAGAGAAAATATCTTATTTATATGTATATGTTCTTTTAGGTGTATCGGAGGTAAACTCACAAGATGACCAGAACTGTGACTTCGAAGAATTTGACAGATGTGCAAATGTGCTGATGGCCTTCAGAGAAAATCCCAAAGACGCCGTACCCGTAACTGTGGAAGAGATATATGCAAGCTGCAGGTAATTTGTTATTGGTTTGGTTTGTTTGGAATTTCGCACAAAGCTAAACGAGGGCTATCTGGGCTAGCCGTCGTTTATTTAGCAGTGATAGCTACCTTTCCCACAGCCAATTGTTGAGCTACTCTTTTATCAACGAATAGTGGGATTGATCGTCAAATTATAACACCCCCACAACTGAAAGGGCGAGCATGTTTAGCGACGAGTATAGGTGAAAATGTACCTATATTATAAAATATGGGTCTTATATAATTTGATATGTAAAACGCTACTTAACAATGCACCTATAAAAGTAGGGTAGTGGATCTTATGGATTAGGTTTTTGTTTGTTTTGTTTGTAATTAAGCACAAAACTACACAATGAGCTATCTGTGCTCTGCCCACCACGGGTATCGAAACCCGGATTCTAGCGTTGTAAATCCGCAGACATACCGCTGTGCCACTGGGTAGCCTTATGGATTATGAAAGATTCTGTAATTTATATAAACAAGATGGATTATACAAAACATACTCAATCCACTAATGAGTTACTGAAATATAATCAAATTGCATTCTTGATTATCTTCTGAGAAAAGGTGAATCTGGAAACATCAGCACCACAGTATATCGGAAATCATATTCAGTTTACATCACATCACATGGGATGTGTCATCAACTTTCACAGAAGATCATTGGTTTTAAAACGTATGTACAGAGAGCTTTTTCAATACGTTCAAAACATAAGGATTTAGAAAAACTTTATTTTATTGTATGTATATATATTGGTTAATATAGAAGATGTAAGGTTTGTCAAATATTTTACAGTGAAACGTAATAAATAATTGTACAAAATAATAATACGCCTGATTCAAAACAGAGAAACGTTATTGTTTCGTCATTTTTAAAAGGCATTACTAGTAACCTATCCAGCAGTACTAGTAACCTAGCCAGCATTACTAATAACCTAGCCAGCATTACTAGTAACAAAGCCAGTATTACTAGTAACCTAGCCAACTTTACTAATAACATAGCCAGTATTACTAATAACATAGCCAGTATTATTAACAACCTAGCCAATGTGTTTCATGAAAATAATATTAGTCGTGTTTTTAAACAAACTTATAGATGTAATAGCATAATTACATCAATGAAAGACAAACTAACGTATTTAGATACATCTGGTGTTTATAGAACGTTGTGTGAATGTAACATGAAATACGTTGGACAAACAAAAAGAAAGCTGAAACTTAGAAAAAAGGAATTTAAAATTTCCATAAATTCCAATCAACCATCTATTTCAGCCTTGGCTGAACATGTAAATGAAGCAGGTTACAGCTTTAATTAGCTGAAAACTAAAATTATAAGTGAGCACATAACACAAATTGATATGGGTATTCGTGAATCCATTGAAGTAATATCGAATACGCAAAAGGGAATAGTTTAAAAAGAAACAATGACCCAGGAAATAAATAAATATATAATATATTACATCTAGTAAAACTAGATCTAATGCAGAGAATGCAAACAAGCTTGTAATCAAAGGGATAAAATCACATGAGATACCAAAACCCATATCATGTCCGGCTCAGCTTTAAAATATGTAGTTCTAGTCAGCCGTAATAAATTTCACCTAAAGAATTAATGTTAAGCATTTTAAATTATAATCTACCTACCAGTGATCCTGTGATAGTGGTTTATTTTACATTCATGTGCTGAGTCTTTGTTAATTGTTTGTTTGTTTTGAATATCGCGCAAAGCTACACGAGGGCTATCTGCGCTAGCCTTCCCTAATTTAGCAGTGGAAACGAGATAGAAGGTAGCTAATGATCACCACCCACCTCCAACTCTTGGGCTACTCTTTTACCAACGAATAGTGGGATTGACTGTAACATTATAACGCCCCC